TCTAAGTATCAAAAGAAAATAGTTGGAAAGGGAACTACTGTTATTAAACCACAAAACAAAGATGTTACTATTAATTTGGATATGATAGGAAGTACTTCTTTAGCTGTAGAATCTGCACAACATTATTTTAAATTAGTTGTTGGCACACTTTACTTAAACCAAAACATTGATGTTGGAAAGTATTGTGAACTTTCTGTTTCACAATTAACATCTACTGTTACTAATGAAAAACGTTCTATAAAGACTTCAGGAAAAAGGATGGTTATAACAGAGATTGATGCTGATCTTTATCGATTAGTAGAACCTACACAAGTTATTATCTCAGCTGTACCAATAACTGAAACATATTCCAATATTGTTAAATGTACTTTAGATGGAACCTTTGTAACAGGAACTGATCTTGTTTGTCCATGCCAAAGTCTTACTGGATATGAATGTGAACTTGAATTTACAGGATCAACTAATCCAATAACATTTCCAAGTGAGAATATTGCTTTACATAAGTTGACACTTCCAAGTGGAGCTACTATTTCTGGAACAGGTAGTTTAAGTGTTATGAATCTCGAGATCAAAGGAGATGTTACCATTAATGGATTTTCAAGTGTTGACATTAACTCTCAAACAGGAGAGTCTAAGATAACAATTTCTACTAATGGAAAATTAAAAGGAACAAGTTCTAAGACTGTTACATTTAGTCCAAGTTCTTCTTCAGTAAAGTTAGAATATTATGGTACAAGTGTTGAAACATTAATAGTTGATAAAGATGGAACATTTATTAACAGTGGAAATGATATTAAGACTGTTACATTAAGTAATAGTGGTAAATATACGGTACCAGAAGGAATTACTGTTAATAGTGGAACTATTAATGTGTGTCCAACATGTGTTGTTAATATTAACGGAGAATATACAGAAAGTCTTAAAATTCAATCTACTGGTACAAAAGATAACACAAATAATGAATATAACGTCAATTTTAGAATGTTTAAAGACTTTGTAGAAAAAGTAGTAACAAGTACAGACGCAAAGAAAATCACATTCCATCCAAGTGGAAAGAAGGTTATTTTTAAAGAAATGGATTATACAAGTACAAATGAACTAATTGATGTGTGTGACTATACTAACAAATTCTATAAGACAAATACTAAGAATAAATGTGCATCAATGAAAGTAGAAGGAATTGAACCAATTGAAGTTTCACTAACAACAAGTGATGTAACTGGAGCAGATAAGTTTATAATTGAAAAAGGACTCAGTGTTAATACAAGTAAAGTTATCTTTAAGACATGTGGTACAATTAAAACACTTAAACTTTTATTGTCTGATGTCACACTCACTAAGCCAAATGGACAAGCAAGTTGTGAACTTACAGTAACAGAAGGAATTAAATCAGAGACTAATGAAAAAGAAAGTCATAGTCCAGAAGTTAAAGTAACACTTGATAATATTCAACTTAAAAATACAGACATTAGTGTACCAAAATTGGTTTTAAAATCAGCAACAATAACCGCCAATAAAGATATAAAAATTCCAACACTTTCTATGGATGGAAAATCAAAGATCAATCTTGGACAATATGGGTTAAATGTTGAGGAAGTATCATTTGATTTCTCTGATATAACAGAATCTAATAAACAAGAAGCATTGATTAATTCAAATAAAGACAAAGGATTTGTAGTTGAGAAGATAATGACAGTTTCATCAACACCAAAACCGGAAGTAAAAAATATTTATATTACAAAACAAGATGATAAAATAACATATTCAGGAGATGTACCAAATAAATTTTATTTAGCTTGTTATGGCAGAGCACTCATTTATAATATCGACACAACTTATAAATGTGATGAAGTATTTAAAACACCAAAGAAATGTACAATCAAAACAGGAGAAAAAGAAATTGACTTCAATTCAGAAAGTTCATATAATGAAGCATTATGTCCATGTCATTACTCAGATCCTAAAGGAGAACAAGATTTAATTGGTTCATGCCGAATAGTATATGAAGAAAATAAAGAAAGAAAAGATAAAGTAACTATTAGCTCAAACAGTGATATTAATGTTAATGAAATTAGTGTTAATAGTATTAATGAAGTAACAATAAAGGCATTAGATAAGAAAATTATTTCAAAAGTATATGTATTAGGAAAAAGATTAATTCTTGAAGGGTCAAGCATCAAATTATCTGAAATACATGGAACAGAGGAGTCTAGTTCTACTTCAGTGCCTGAACTTGAATTAAAAGGAAAAAGTGCAATTGAAACAATTACAGGAAATATGAATATTATAACTAATAA